TCTATTTGTGTGCTGAATTCAATCTATGAATTTGTATATACTAAAGCAACCTTGCATCCTTAGAACAAAACCATGACCACCTATCTCATTACTGTGTTTTTGAATTCAGGTGGTGATAATTTTATTTAAAAATATCTTGTATTAATTTCACGGTAGAAATTTATAGGTCTATAGTTTTTTGTGTGTGTCTCTATCCTGTTTAGATATCAGGGTAAAACTGGCTTCATATTGAGTTGCTGGTATTCCTTCCTTTTCCATTCTGAATCCAGTTCCTCTGCAAGAGCAATGGGCACTCCTAACTGCGGAGCCATCTCTCCAGCCCCTGGAATCTGCAGTACTCGCTAGTGATTCTGTGTCTGGCATCTGTGGTAGTTTCTCCTTTTTCATCACACAGTTGATTTAGTCAGATCTTCTCCTTCTTTTGTTAGTTTGAGTTTGTCAATCTTGATTGTATCATAGACCCAGATATGCTATGATGCTATTTATACTAACGATACTGTAATACAGCTCTACTATGTGTTGTCAACTTAGTCTCCATTTGATTACTTCCTGTCCAGATCTTTACTTCTTGCCATCTGCTCCTTTGTGGTTTGGGGTATTTTTGTTTTTCCGAGGACACTAAGGTGCATCATTATTTATTTGAGATCTTTGTTTTTTTTGTATGCAAGTACAAATAGCTGTAAACTTTCTTCTTATACCATGTTTAAGTAAGTTGTGGTTTCATTGTTATTTAGTTTTAGGAACTCTTAAATTCATTCCATGATTTTTCTTCAATGACCATACTGTTCATTCAAGAAAGTGTTTTGCCTTCTCAAGTTTCTTGAGTTTCTATGGTGAGAGTACACATTTGTTGGTTTGGCTATTTCTTCTGTTTCTTATGGTGATGGTGGTGGGGAGTCTTCTCATTGAAGAGTGTACTCTGGAAGGCTCCATCCCTAGAAATGCTCAATGAGGAGAAGACTGCTTTGGCAGCAGCTATGTCCAACCATGCAAGAGATAGAAAGGCACTTAAAATCAGTGATAGCCCACTACTAATACATGACTAGCGATCAAAAACTGAAACAGCAAAGTATTACAGAATATGATGATGTTAAAAACTGCTTAGAGTTAGTTTGGAAAGAGTAAATGAAATAAAGGAAGAAGACAGGAAGGAGGAGAAATGGGTAAATGAAAGTGAAAGAGCAGCAGAGAATAATGTTATGGAGGGCAAGAGATTAGAAAAGCAACAAAACATATTTACTAATAATAAGTGTTGAAAGTGCTGATGAATATAACAAAGTAAATATCAAACTTAACATAAAAAATTGATTACATGTGCCAGCGCAGGTCACCCTGTGACCACGTGACATCATCTGTTCCCAAATACATCCAACTACCAGGCCCAGTCCTGCCCAGGACAACTGGCACAGTGGCCCAGCCTGGTGACTCTTTCTAATCCCAGCTTCCCACACCCTTCCCAATCCCACCCTCAAGACTAGCTTTCACAACACAAGTAGGTGCTCTGCCAGCTGCCGGAGGAGGGAACGATGAGTAATCCTACCCAGTGTGAGGCCTCTGAACCACAACGATGACCGGCCTGGCAAAATGGCCCAAAAGGTGCAGTAGTGGCGCTGACATTGGGTGGGAAACAGCAGCTCTCTAATTGGACTGAAGGCCCACGCAACAGGATATCGTGATTGGTAATGGAAACCTAGCCAGCTACCCAGAGCTAGCGAAATCATGATCTTAGTGGAGAGCGACGACTGCCACGTTACTGGACCAATATAATCTTAACTGTGTGTGTCTGTCCTCTGGCTAGGACCGCCTGACTTTTGTCAGGCTTACTTTTTGGAAGGGCATTCTGCTCCTCCATCTCCACCAGTGAACTGTGGCTGAGGCTGTGTATCCTTACTTCTCTGTGTTGCTTGTCCACGCCTCACCCCCACATACTTCCTGGTTTACAGAGCACTTCCTCTATTTTTCCTTATTCTGACGTCCTTCACATACACATTATGGAAGTCAGATCTGCCACCTTAACCTGAACATCCTACAATTAATATCTGATATGACTGATGTTTAAGTTTGCTCAACTGTTTATCTTGTGGGAGAGGGTCTTTTTTTTTCTTGCATCTCAGAAATACAATTTACTTTTGAAATATTAGACCTATGGGTTTAGAAACGGCCTCTCTTGGCTCTGGGCTTTTTATTATAAGTCTAGTTATTGGTCTCCCTCCCTCCCTCTCCTTTTCCCTCCTTCTCTCCCTCCTTCCACTTTTACTTTTAGACAAAATCTCCAGCCCAGGATGGCCTTGACTATTGAAGAAGACTTTGACTTTCTGATTCGCCTGCCTGTACTTCTTGAAAGCTTGAATACAGGCTACCAGCCTGCAACCCTGCACCACACACAGCTCCCAGTTTATGTGGTACTAAGGATGGAGCCTAGGGTCTTCTGCATGTTGGGAAAACACTACTGACAGCTACCCTCTAACGCCTAGATTTCTTTTTTTGTCAAATTTGGAATTTAGAACTTTCTTGAATTTTCACATTTATTCAGATTTAAGTTTTTAATCATCTGGTGTAGGTGGAATTTTTTGCCCCACCAGCCAGCTCTCAAATAACCATTCAGACTTATTATTAATTATAAATGCTTGGCCGACAGCTTAGGCTTGTTACTAACTAGCTCTTACAACTTAAATTTGAATATGATAAGATAAAAAGGTCAATTTTTGAATCTACTTTTAAAAAGGAACTACTTGTTTTAAATAGGATAAGTAATGAAAATTTTTTTTGTCTGAGTTTATCAAATGTTACGGGACTGGACATTGTTAATACATATAATGAAGTTTTTTGTCTGAATCCGTCAAATGTTAATGGACTACACATTGTTAATGTAACTCTTGACTGTATATATTGTGTATATTTACTGGATAGTTTTTCTTGTATTAGTTATAAGCTTTTTTAAATTTTAGACAAAAAGAGGGGAAATGTGGTAGTATTGTATTCCCAAAAATATTGTGTACCCTAATAAATTTATCTGGGGTCAGAGAACAGAAAAGCCACTAGATACTTAGGATAGGCAGTGGTAGCACACGCCTTTAATCCTAGCATTCCAGAAACAGAAATCCATGTGTTCAAGGATACAGCCACGCATGGTGACTCATGCCTTTAATTCCAGAAAGCGAGCCTTTAATCCTAGGGAGTGATGGTAGAAAGCAGAAAGGTATATAAGGTGTGAGGACCAGAAACTAGTAGCATTTGGCTGGTTAAGCTTTTAGGTTTTGAGCAGCACAGTTTAGCAGCTGAGAGCCATTCAGATATGAGGACACAGAGGCTTCCAGTCTGAGGAAACAAGATCAGCTGAGAAGCTGGCCAGGTGAGGTTAGCTGTGGCTTGTTCTGTCTCTTTGATCTTCTAGTGTTCACCCCAATACCTGGCTCAGGTTTGATTTTATTAATAAGAATTTTTAATATATGTAGTTCCTGCTACATAAATTAACTCATATTTATCAATCTACATGCTGCCACATGACTTTTTGGAAGAGAGGGGATGGCAGTGCTGGTGACTGAGCCTAGGGCCGCATGCATGGCAAATAAGTACTCTACCACTGAACTATATAGAGCCCTGGCCCGTAGGTCATTGATTTGATGATTATATTACATTCTCACTACCCTAGTAATGAAAAGAATGTTAAGGCACATACTTGAAACATCTCTGTTTACTGAGATACCTGCTTAAGCCTTGGTGTTCAGCTACATTCAATATTTAGTTTTGGGTAGATGAGTAAGCGTATGCCCACGGCAGCATCATTAGTTGTATCCTATGAAACTATGCAGGCAATTGTCATGTATCCATTGAAGCTTTCCATTATATCTGGTCATCGATTCTAGTCTCACTAACAAATAATGATGTCCATTTGGATATTTTAACTCCCAGATATTCATTTCTAAATACAGGTAAACATCTTAACCAGTATATGGTAAAATTTGATGATTATTCACTTCTCATTACATTCCATCAAACTATAAACTTAATTTTTATTGCAGAAATATTGAAATATGAATATAAAATAATTTTATGTAAAAACAAGAACTTTCAAAGGATTAGAATTGACAATTAATATCAAAATATTCAGAGAATACATTATATGGTTCATTTTATAATGGAACAAAGTTTTTTTGTGTGTGTATTTGGAAGTAATTGCTACAAAAGTTTGTTATCTAGAAATGCTGGGCTGTCCCACAAAAATACATAATATATGATATTTAGGCTTCTGAGTAACAAGAGTTTGAAGAAATTGTTAGTAAAAGTTGCAATAATGTTGAGAAAGTTGCTGTAAGAAACTAGTATGTTTTCCTTGGAAAAGAGACCAAATGTTTGCTTTGGGCTAAGGTATCTACAAGCAAAATGTGGAGCGCGCCACCTGGTGGTGTTTTACTGCATAGGATTAAGGTATTAAATTTTTTTTTTTTTTAAGAGTTCTCCTTTCTCCAACTTTAGTTGAAGTGTCAGTTGTCATCTTTGTTGTTCTCATTTTTGTCTTTTTCTCCGTCTCCTCTTCCTCCTTCTTTCACTTTTTTATTGAAAAAAATTTCTTTCATATGCTATATTCTGGTCATAATTTCCCTTCCTTTATCTCCTCCCCGATCCTCCCCACCCTCCTTAAATTGTGGGCTTGATTCCACGTGGAGTCACATGACTGACATTGTGTGGGAGTCACTAATTTGGCAATAGGAAAAGGTTTCTGAATGTGCACTCACCAAAACTTTGAACTCAAACATGAAAAGCATTTGAGGTGTTTCTGTGATGGCCTGTGTTGAATGTAATACTCCATTCACTCCAGCCTTGGTTCTCAAGACGACACAGCATACTGTAATGCTGATCTTGATCTCCTCACTCAGCGCTGTGCTGTTTAATCATGAGTTTCTGAATGTTCTATGTTCTTGTGGTTTTATTCCACCGTGCTCAAACAGAATACAAGGAATTATGCACTTTTCCTGTATGTTAAGATTTGCTCTTTGTAGGTGTGTGTGTGTGTGTGTGTGTGTGTGTGTGTGTGTGTGTGTGTTTTAGAGAGTTTCATGAGCTGTTCATTCTTAAGTATTTGTATGAAATTCTTTGCCAATACCTTTAAGTTCATTTGGTCTATTATGCCATTTAATTCAGGTACTCTTCCCGCCCCTCCCCCCCTTTTTGCCTGGAAGTAAGGTACTGAAGTCACACACTACTGTTGTGTCAGGGTTAATCATCTCTAGTAGTATTTGTTTTATAAAATTAGGTATGCCCATGTTCTATGCCGACTGTTTGGAACTGCCACATGCTCTTGATGGATTCTTCACGAAGTCATTATGAAACGATTATTTCTGGCTTAATATCAATTTTTTAAGACATTAGAACAAGTGGCTTACTTGTTTCCTAGTTCTAATGTGCTTGGATTACATTTTCCACCATTCTTTAACTCTAAGAATGATAGTTTGAATGAGTTATCCACCCCCCGCCCCCATATATTCTCTGGCATTCTGAATGTTTGGTCCTCAGTTAGTGACACTGTTTGGCTAGGTTTAGGAGTTGTGGCCTTGCTGGAAGAACTATGTCCTTGGGGGTGGGATTTAGGTTTAAAAGTCTTGTGCCTTTCCCTGTGAGCTCTCTGCATCTTGTTGGTGGTTCAGGATGTGAGCTCTCTGTTGCTGCTCCAGCTAGCAGGTTCTCCCTGGTGCCACGCTTCTCTGCTATATGGTGATGGATTCTCATAAGCCCAAATAAACCCTTCTATCTATAAGTTGATTCAGTCATGGGGTTTTCAAAAGGATAGAAAAATAGCTAATAAGGTAGCATTTCTCTTTTATGGTGAGGTGGTTTCTCAGAATAACAAAAAGATCCAGCATTTAATCCAATATACTAGTATGTGCCTTTTGACAGCAAAATCAAGACCACTGATATTTAGAGTTATTATTGAAAAATGCATATCATTTCCTCTCATTTGTGGATTTTGTAGTATTTGGTGTTTTCTTATTCCTCTCTTGTTTAACTACTATTGAAGAGTGGTTCATTCATCCCTATTGATGTCTGTCTTTCTTTTCAGTCTGAAGATTCAGTATGATGTACCTAGTTGGAGGCTGAGAGGTCCCAGTGGTCACTCCTTCAGTGAACCAGCCTTGAGCTGCTGAAGGCTGAGGGTGGCTATGGGAACGTGGGTCCGTGGAGTAGTGCAGACTCTTTTCTTCTAACCATCTGAAGGTAGAAATGAAGACTGTATGCTCAGGAAGGTCCAACTCCATCACTGCCCAGGCAAGCATCGCAGCACACCCAGGAAAAATCAGTAAAGAAGGCACTCCAGGGAGACTCTGGTCCTGTCAATCACTCTAGTGAGCTCAGCATCCCACTGATGCTGCATATCCCCCATCCCATGAGGTGTTAGCAACAATCTGAACAGTGCAAGTTTCTCTGGAAGACCAAGGGTGAGCAAAAATATCAAATAATTAATTCAACCAATCAATGACCTAACACCAAATGTGCGAATCCCAACACCAAAGCGCCAGTAACAGGAAAAACCAAGACAATCTTTGTCCTCTAAAAAGTATTAATCCTATAGTAATGTCCTCCACGACAGTGGAGATTTTTATCTCAGAAAATGAATTTAAAAGAATAAAAAGAACTCTTGGAAGAGTGCTGAGTATACAGACAGCTGAATGAAATAAGGAGGTGGACATTCTCTGAATGTGTGCCAACCCTTGATCCTATCATTATTTTTAAAACTTTCTGCCATTCTGCTAAGTGTGCTGGCACCTCAGTTTGAATTTTACTTTAATTTATCTAGCGGCTAATAATGTGGAACATGTTTCTCTTTTTTGAGTTTGTTTTTCAATCACGTATCTTTCTTAGGGCCATTGCCTTTGGCTACTTTTCAACTGGATTGCTTTTCTACTACACATTTTGAAAGTTCCCTGCTTATTTCAGGTGAGAGTTCTTTGTTAGAATGGTCCTTTAAGAAGGCAGATTCACTGCTAGGTGTTATTAGCACAGGAGCTGGGTAGTGTTCATTTCTACCCTGGAGAAAGCACAGCATTGACTGAATCTCATGGCAGAGGCATGTCACAGATCGATGCCATTTCTGCCCTTGCTGATACCTTCTTGGTGGAAGTGGACAATGATTTGCATATGTATGCTGCCTTTGCAGTGGGGGCATGAGCTTGTCTCTCCGGGTGTCACCGATGACACCCTAGATGAAGGAAATGGAGACAGAATGAGATTATCTCTGTGACTCTCAACCTTGTTGATCCCCAAGTGGAAATGGAGGTTCAGATAAACATCACTGGTTATGTACTGGAGTGTTACTGGTTTCTTGTAGCACGAATCTTAAAAGGTCTTATTAATAAAAACAAACCCAGAGCCAGGTATTGGGGTGAAAGTTGAAAGATCAGAGAAACAGAAGAAGCCACATCCAACCTCACCTTGCCAATTCCTCAGCTGATCCTGTTTCCTCAGACTGAAAGCCTCTGAGTCCTCACTGGAATGGATCTCAGCTGAACTGCTGTTAAAAGCCTAAAACCTTAAAAGAGCCCTAGTTTCCGGTCTTCAAACCTTATACACCTTTCTGCTTCCTGCAATCACTTCCTGGGATTAAAGGTGTGTGTCACCAGGCCTGGCTGTTTCCAGTGTGGCTTTGAACTCACAGAGATCCAGACGGATCTCTGCCTCCAGAATGCTAGGATTAAAGGGGTGTGTGCCACCATTTTCTGGCCTCTATGTCTATTTAGTGGCTGTTCTGTTCTCTGACCCCAGAAAAGTTTATTAGGGTGCACAATATATTGGGGGACACAATATCACCACAGTTTCTGGTATGAAAGATGGAATCCAGGGTCGTTATATGGTAGGTTATTATTCTACCCTTAGATGCACTCTGAGTTCCCTAGTGTTCAGTTCTTATGTTCAAGTTTCCATAACTCTCAATTGAAGTAGTAAATGAGGGAAAGGTAATTTAAAATACACTTTTTATTTATTTTTGAGATAGGGTCTTTCTGTGTAGCTCAGGCTGCTCTCGTGAGCTGGTCCCATCTCAGTCCCTCCAGTGCCGGGGTTACAGGTGCTTGCCACTGTCCCTAGATGAATAATTAATGAACTTCTAATTACTGTTGACAGCTGACTCTATCTGCTTGTTTATGATCTGAATGTGGAGCATTTTCAGGTGGGCAAAGTGTATTAATAGCACATTATTTCATGTCATGTGAGATTAAAAGCTATATATAATGGAGTTTTCTTGTAAAATGAAGTTCTTATTTTGACAAAACATTCAAGTCCTCGGTACAAGGATAATGTCTAGAGACATATAATAGATTTACACATATTGACTTAGAAGTAATCAGCAGGGACAAACTACACTTACTAGCAGTTTGTACGGTCTGCAATTGCTATGTTTAATGGCAGAATTGCTTTATTTCTTTTTGTGTACTAATGGGTGCCCACTGTGACGTCTCCGTACTGATAGAGTTTCATACGCCTTTATGCCATCTTTTGCATTGAGGAAGAAGTTCACTAAGTTGGATGGCATAACTTTCTCAATTAACGATGTAAGCCATTTTCCTCTCATGTCTATCTGGACAAATACCACTAGATTGGAATATGCTGGGTTTCTGTAAGCAAATAAAGAGTTACAAAAGATAAAGCATTCTTAACTTGACCTTAGGAAGTGACAAGTTTATAGAGAGCAGAAGTCTTCAATTAATTTTCTTCGATTCTTTCTATCGTGCATATGACAAGACAATTAACTAAAAGGGGAAGGGACAGTGACCTTATAAAATAAAAATTCTACATAGAATATAAGTAGTCAGAAGGTATCTTAAAATCTCAGCTTTAGTTACCCTTTCCTTTTGCTATTTCTTCTATCCTTTGAGTAGATACCGTAGTCCTCAGAATTCATACCTTTTCTTTTCTCTCAACATTTGTTCTACTCCTGTTTATGTAGCATTTATCAACTTTATAGAGCCCATATATATACATCTTTACTTAATAAGAAAAACAATATCTGCCTCTATTAAAAATGAAAAAATAAGGAAAATTATATACCTATGTTCCTGCATATATGTGCAGTTTTTTTCAATGAGATATATTTATATTTCCTTTTTTATTAAACATAGATTCTTTTCTCATACAATATAATCTGAATACAGTTTCCCCACCTCTGCTCCTCCCAGTTCCTCCCCATCTTCCCTCCCATTCAGATCCATTCCTTTTCTGTCTCTTATTAGGAAAGAACAGGCTTCTAGAAGAGAACAACAAACCATAGCAAAAAAAATCTAACAAGATAAAATGAAAATCATCATAAAGCTGGCCAAGCCAACATCATGCTTATAGTTATATAATTATTTTTAATAATTTTATAACTATAATTTTAATACTAAAATTGTATTAATTTGCTCTTCTCTGAGACAGAGTTTGGCTATGTATCTCAACTGGGCCTTAAATTCACTGTAGTATAACCAGCCTCGCCTGGAACTCATCATGGCAGTCCCCCTGCTTTCACTGTCTGAGTTCTAGGGTTACCGGCTTATATGACCACACCCAGCTACAGACATCATGGAAGGTTTAGTTGTGGGAAAATATTTGTGTGTTTCACTTTGCCCAGAGCCCTAGGATATATTTCATAGTAAGTTATCTGTTCTTATATTTAAGACAACAACATAAAAAGTTATTTTTAAAATTGCTTATGGGGCAGTCTTTTTTTTTTTCTCCCAATAAACTATGTTGGTACATATTTCTATTGGTAAGCTAGGGATCCTAAAGTAAATCCTAAGTGGAAGTGGAAAACCCTGTTAAAATAGACACCTATGAATAGCACTTACTCTTTGAGAGGTGAACATACATAGCCAGAAGGGTAGTTATAGCCACGGACATAATGTGAAGTCGGAGGATATCCTGGGAAGTCCACACTGCGAGCTGTGATTACAAAAGGTGAAATGAGACAATTTCACAAGGGCAAACATTATTTCTAGAAGCATAATTTTAAAATAAATGATGGCATTTGACTTCAATGTTAACACTAGTTTCACAGTGTACATATATTTATACTAGTATCCCTAAAGATGCTTGTATATTTTTATACAAAAAAAGTTCTTTAAAAGTATCAATTAGTTACTTTCTGAGGTTTGAAACAAATAAACAAAGCATAAAAGATTGTTTTATTGGGGCTCATTGACTTTTGTTAATACTTTCATTCTCCATGAACTATCTGAAGTACTCAGACACTTTAAATGCTTTCTTCTGTTAATTCCATGTACTAATTTCAAAGTGTAATTAAAACTTAGTAGAATTTACCTTAGTAATTAATTATGCAGCATAATATGTATATTGCAGTGAAAAGAAGGAAGGTGAAATTTAAGACAATTATATATTTTCTAAATAGTTTACAAATTTATAACTTTTGCTAGAGCCAGAGAACATGAATTTTCCTAAATTATTTTAGCAAAGTCTATCCAAAATGCACTAGTGTAGCGGAGGAATGTGGTGGAGTGAATATTCCATTTCTGACTCACTTCTAAACAGAGCCCATTATGCTGGTATGCTGATATTGCCAGAGTGATAGACATATTTTCCATTTAAAACGTGGAGACTATGCTTGTATTTCTTTTCTTTTCTTAAATCTGTTAGTTTACCAAAAAGTGTGAGTCTTTAGTGAGGCATGTACTGTGGTAGGTAGCATTTGTTTTGAAAATCAGAAAGACTAGAGTTTTAAATTCAGTAGCTTATTAGATAGCTAAATCAGTATTTTTACTACTCAGTTTCTGGAAACTTCAGTTTTAACCTTAGTGAGACACACATACAAAATATTTAGCTCAAAGCAAGGTGCAGAATAAAGCTTTAAAAATACCCAGGCCGGGCGGTGGTGGCGCACGCCTTTAATCCCAGCACTCGGGAGGCAGAGGCAGGCGGATCTTTGTGAGTTCGAGGCCAGCCTGGGCTACCAAGTGAGCTCCAGGAAAGGCGCAAAGCTACACAGAGAAACCCTGTC